TGCCCTAATTAGTTAGATGAGAGCAGATATCACAAACAATATCATCTGTTTAAATAAAAATCATACTCTCCAGTGAATAATGTAAATATCCAGTTATTTTCCTAATAAAACATTAGCCGAAAATAACTTGGAAATACTCACAAAGGCTCCAAATTCTTTGTATGACTTAACTTCACGTGCTCACACAACTTCTGAAGTTGCAATATATGTTCTGGATTATCAGTTCCCAGACCTGTAGACAAAATCTCAGACTGCACACTGTATTCATTGACATACATCTTCAAATCTGGTAACCCGGACCTGGAATTACAAAATGTACTACATAAAAACCACAGCTCAGACTGCATCTCTACTCCAACTCTAAGCTATTGTTTAGCTAAAAACTTTAGACATTTGCCCATTTGTTTCTGATTTTTCAAATGGTGAATAACTTACTAATATTCTCAAAATATCAGCACTTTTTAAATTGTAGTAAGTTCTCAAAACAAAACAGCTGGTCTATGTAAAAGAATCAACTTAGTAAGTAAATAGAAAAGCTCTAGAAACGATTCCAGAAATTACGACCAAAATATACACTTATATAAATATACAAAATACACACTTATAACTGCATCTTTAGGTCCCTCCGTTTATGGAGGGGAACAAAAACAAAAGCTAAAAATCAAGAGGAAAAGTTGAGATGCCATACTAGAAAGGAAGTATGGAAGAAAATCACTTGCAAATAATTTTCTCTTTCTGTTCAATTTTTCAGTTCATTGAATGGACAGGAAAACAAAGCATAGCACATGTCAGTGTGCAGAAACAGCCTAGGGTACTCCTGAGCAGAATCAAAACAGAAAAAAATGCATCACGATCCTGACAGAGATACCTCATCAACATCTCCTGACCTTAAAAAGATTCTGCAACCTCTGAGCTATGTTTGATAGCAACTCTTCATAGAACTCCCAGCTCTTACAATTATTTTTGACAGACACCACATTTGTTTATGCCATTAGGAAAGGCATAAAACACATCTGATTTTTCTAATTTTCTTTGCTTGCTATTACTTTCCAGTCAGTACTTCCAGCACTGATGCTTGCTCCAGTCCAGTCCAGCAATTCTTACGGGCCATGGAACTGATAGAAAAATATGAACATAGCACTGACCTCAACATGCTACTTTAAGGAAAATTAAAAAGGTCAGTTTTGACAGAAAAAATAATTTCATCACATCTGAAAAAGTAATTCAAAAAGATCAAATCTGAAAGTGATCAGCAACTTTGACTGAATAATAAAAATCATAATGTTATACAACAATCAAACATTCTCAGGGTGAATAAGTGGCACATTCCCTTTTGTCCCACTCCTCGCTGGTGCAAGAACCAGAAGTGACAGTAAAGGCTTAGAAATACAGTCAGAATAAATTAAGCCTAACATCAGTATCAGATTTAGATACTTGAAAACAATCTTGGAGTATATCCACCTGGACAAGATATCCAGATGGCTTCTTAGTACATCCAGCAATAGAGAGTATACAACCTTCAACAGTCTATTTTTGTTCCCAGTCACACACAAATAACACTAATTAAAATCAAAATAGGAACCAACAGAAGGACAGATACAAATGAATACTCTTGTTGTAAAGGAGCACTGTTAGAAACATGCAACTATACATACCATTGGGTCAATCCAAACTGTATTTCCTAAAGTAAGTACTACCTTTGCTTCATGTGGTTTCCTTTCAATTTTCTGATGAATATAACGAGTCACCTAGGAAAAACAAAACCATCTTTGAAATGTATAGCAACATAAATTGGCAGTAATTTCACTTGTAATGAAAGCCTTCTGAGCTTAACGACAAGAGCATTCACTAAATAAAAGCAAGATTTTGAGCAGAGTAATGAAATACTAAAACCACACCATGGACTATGCGTGCATATTGTTCGGTATGCAGAAGGATATGCAAACAAGTCAATTTAGAGGCTGTCCCTCTCCCCACATATTGGAAAGCAGCAGTAACTTGTTCTGGAAGAAGTCATTTAAATTACACATAATAAAACTCCACAATTTCACTAGTTTTCTTAGCCAACAAAATAGTAACTTGGGCTTCTCAGAATCAAGCCCACTATCAGTTATTCATTCGTAACATTAATAAGCAATGAAGTGGGTAACTAAATTCACAGTTCATAACTGTTTTCTCATAGAAAATAAACACACAAATTAAAGAACTTCAGGAAAATACTTCGACAGAAACCAATGGCTATTACCCTTGGGTTCCACTCAGTGTCATTATCAATGGGTTTAACTCTACAAACTACAAATTCCACAGCCTGAGGTGGCAGATGCTGAAATCTTACAGGTAAGTGAAGAAGCTGAGAGCTCTGAGCTTGACCAGTTCTGCCTTCATCTACGTATTTGATTTTGATGTTAAAATTTCCTTCTTCTTTTGAAGAAGTCTCTACCACCTGGACCCTTCACATAGTGGAAGACGACAATAATTAATATTCATACAATCCGTTAAGAAGTATTCATCTGCTTTCTACAAAAAGTAGAAAACTCACAGTCAAACATCGAACTGGTTATAGGGATACGTATTTGGATTTTCCACTGGGCAAATCACACTTCTTTTTAAAATTTGTTTTAAAGACTGACTTGTATTGCAGTCATTTCCTGCTGTTTTCGGAACAGGGTGTGGAGGCAGGGTTTGTTTTTTTGTGGTTTTTGTGGTTTTGTTTTTTTTTTTTTTTTTTTTAAATCAAACATTGAACATTTTTAATATATTAAAAAAGTATACATGAATAAATAAACACCAATACCTGTGAAAGACTGTTTCCTCACAGAATCCAAACAAAGCTAGTTTTTCTACCTTTTGAGCACCAACTCTATTACTAGTCTCCTTAAAATACTCACTGATTTCTTCAGCAAGAATCATATATTGGTCCTTTTGTTTATCTACAATACGACCAAAGTAGTTTGTTGCATTTACAACGTGGAGAGGCAGCACCTGAAAGCAAAACATAAATTGGGAGGGTAGGGAAAGAAGAGTGATTATTTCTGAAAAATGAGATGCGTGATACAGATGTATCGGAACAAACATAACATCAACCCTCTTCACACTGAAAGCTAGGATAAAAACCTCATCATTAACACAAGTAAATCAGACACCAAGCCTGAATAACCTGCAAAACAATTTCAGTTCAAACTAAGGATAAAGAAAAAATCTGGCGAACTTGATTCTGCAACCCCTTCAATAGACAGACCAAAAAAGCTAAACAAGAGAAAATATTACAGAAATACAGTGTACATACTGCAATAGTATTAATATAATTTGAAGAAAAGAAAAAAAGCATTATGCTGAAGCAGCTACATAAGACCTGCCTTCTTAGTACTCAAGACAAAGAAAAATTAAAACAACTCACTGTCACATATCCAGATGTTTGTGTAGTTTTAGATGCCATATTCTGGAGCACATCTATTTGTGAATTAATTTGATGACGATCTGGACATACTGTTCTATTCCTACATTAAAAAAAAACATGAGTAAAATCTGATCTGATGTACCCAACAGGATAATTCATGGAGGAAGTAGATTAAGTCATTATTCAGGGCACTTTTATATTTATATTTATTTATTTATATTCAGGGCACTTTATATTATTAAGGCATTATTCAGGCATAAGCTTCAGGATAATATATTACATACTCACTTGCAAGTCCCAAACATTTTAAGATAGGTGCACAGCGGCCTTGCAAATTTCTTCTTTTCTTCAGCTTCTAGCACTCCAGCCAATCCTGGTGGAATGTCAGCTTCAGCACGCTCCAAATACCGCAGGATACCAACAGTGTGGCACTCACTGTTTTCTGTTAGCATTATGACTGACCTTGCCTGTCGATGGTCCTGATCAGATGAATCCTAAAAATACACATTTGCTCAGCTTTTATTTATCCACTACTAACTCACCATATGTTAATATTAATTTGCCAAAGATTCACTCAAACCTTTATCATATTACGGAAGTTGTCAGACATGCTGTGTAGACGCTGACCGAAGATTGTTGGAGAAGAAGGAAAACTGAAATGTATCACACAAGACGCATCTGTAATCTCCAAGAACTGCATGCAGTCATCTGTTAGAACTGAACACATGATTTATACATAAGGTAACCGACATACTTGTGATGTAACGCTTTACATACCTCATTTGCAATGGCTGCTTCCTCCTCCTCATCCACTGACTTTAATGGTAAGGTCTTTTCCCTATATAGATTACTATGATACTACTTTTTTTCAGTTAATGTTTTTCAAGTATACGGAACACAGTATTACATCACCTCTAGTTCAATTCAGCATCTTGTAACAGTATAAATGAAGAAATACCATAGGCCACAGACAGATATTTCACTAAAGTAGGACTGAAAACATTTCCAGTAACATAGAAATGCGAACATCTTTGTACAAACCTATCAATCAGACACAATTAAGTCCATCTTCTTGCTCTGACGTATAAAAGGGAGAAAATTATGTTTAAAGACCAGGTAAGAGTCTCTGCAATTGCAAGCAACTCAAAAAGTAAAAGCTCCACCAGAACATAAGGGAAATAATTATGCTATGACCTGAGAGGTTCCAAATTTCAAACTGAAAACATCCTCCGCATTAGCAGACAGTCATGAAACCAGGAAAGTTCCCATAAGGAGAAAAAAATATTAGAATAGACATAGCACTAACAAGTAAAGAGACAACTGAAAGTAATTTGGACAGAATTGACCTGGCAAAGTGAAGAGAACCTAATATAATATTATATAATAATATAATGTAATATAATTTAATGTAGAACATCAAGTCACCATGAAGAAATAAACAGACAACCAGAAAACAATAAAGTACCCACCTAATACAACACGACTGCCACTGCTATAGCTTCTTGTCCAATGCTCCAAGAAATCCTTGAAATTAAACTCCATTTCCTTATGTATTTTGAAGACAAATATTGAGTCACTCTT